CATTCCTTCGACTGCAGATCGCTTCATGAGGGAGGATTCCCCACTCGGGATCAATGAGTGGTTCTCAGCCGATATTCTTTAAAGCACAGAAAAGCGTGGAAACAATCACACCGTGGGGGGAGGGGGTCGCCATGTGGCCCTTGGCGTGCTGAGGCCAGAGAATGAAAGCCGCCCTCGAGAGCTCGAGGCGGGGGAGGGGAAGAGAAACAGCTGAGCATCTCCGGACAGAAGCGACCTGCAAGATACACACACAGGGCGAGAGAGAGAGAAGGAGCAGGAAGCAACACATTTCCCCTCATTTCACTTTTGAAAACATAACAGTCTTAAAACACGTTCAGGAACTGGTTCACACTGTACAAGCGTTTGTAGCAAACGGATGAATAAGTCAGGCTTTAACCTAAAGAGTATAAGCCTCCACCTTTACGGTTCCCTGTCTCATCACTGTGGGTTTGACGGTACACAGTAGACAGAGCTTAATACTCTAGCAGACGGTGGCGCTCCACCGAATTCGACTTGTCTGGGATCTGACGAAGCTGAGCAGGCCGATCCAAAGATGGAAATAGAGATTATGTACCGCTCTCTGGGTTCTGCATGGGCCACAGGCTTGTCGGTCTGTAAAGCAACCGAGATGACAGGACCATGTGCTGGGAAACTAAATTAAAAGAAACGTGGCAATGGGAAGGTAGCCGCCCCGTCATGCTGCGTGTGGCCTCGGTCTTTCTGAGTCTTCGTTTCCTCATCTGATAAATGAAGATCACAGTAATACCCACCTCATAGGCTCGTTGGAAAATAAGACTCACAAGGGCATGTAACAGGACTTGACCTATAGTGCTAGATTCCAAGCAAGTCAACGCTGGTTCCCTTTCTCTGGAAGACCCACGGGCCCCACCGCGTGCTCCGGAGAAGCATCTGACTGCGTGTGGAAATGTTCTCTGTGTCATCTAAGGCAGATGGGGCACGGGCAGTTGGGTCTAAGTTTTCTCTTCCTCCAACCCCACAGGACAAAATTTAGGAGGATGGATATTTTGTGTTTCTTGCCGTATCGGAGAGTTGGTGGTGGTGGCAGGCTGGGGGTGGGGTGGGTGTGATGGCTATTTTGGTGTGTCTGTCGATCATATGCTAGATGGTTACCAGGCAGCTGAAACAGCTCTGTTTTCTGGCCTGGTTTACTTATTGCTGGCCTATCGAGAGACAGCCTCAGAGAGGTTCCCCAAAGAAACTCAGCAGTGAGCGTCCACTCCACTTGGATATCGTGCTAGGCGCTTTCAGATGCGCCTCCTCATTTGAGCCTCCACTGGGAAGTTATTTCCACTGGAAGGAAGCAAAGTCTACAACCGAAGGAGACTAATTTGCCTGGAGATTTGACAGTGTCTGCATTGCAGTCAGTGTCTGTATTCTGAGATGATAGATAAATATTGAGCCAGAGTTACTTGTGAGCTGGCGGAAGGGGAGGGAAGGGAGAGTAAGGACCGAGTCTATCAGTATTGATTTAAGGTCCTCATCGCTTCTGCTGTGCGCATCTCTGCAGCATTCCCGGGCAACCTCTGGAGGTTCCCAGCACCACAGAATCTCTCTTCAGCTCAAGAGGCAAGCCCCAGGCCTCTGCACGCCAGTGCAGACAGCTGCTCACGAAAGAGACTGTTTCAGAATTAACTCCATCTCGTTGCCAAACAGACGTGCCCAGGTTGGCCACGATGAGTCTCTAGGGAAGAGGCAGGTTGTGGGATGATTTACAGGGATGTTGTTTCTCTACATTGTTGCTTCTCTTAGGGTGATAAACCACCTCTACTT